TTTTTTTTTTTTTTTTTTTTTTTTGATATTTTGCAAGTGGTGCGCACAGTTGCAAATAGTTCTTTTTTTTTATTTGCCGCACAAGTAAATTTTAATTGAAAATTAACACTACACTAAGGCCCGTGTAATAAACTTATAAAGCATTAACTTCACGAAATTAATTGTGCATTGTAACTTCGAAACGTTACGCCAATAAGTACTGTAAATAAGTACTGCAGAACATGTGTATTCGTGTCGATCATTCAATTTAAGGCGATACCGGGAATAGTGCGTTGATCACATGATTACAACAAAGATTCTTTACTTAATTATTGCTAATACGTATTAAAACAATACATTGTTTTACTGAAAATTTTAAGAATTACAAAGCTATACACTATTTCAAATAAATCAATTTTACAATTGTCTTTGTCAATATCCGAAGTTTAAGTAATTAATCTAACAGAATTAGCAACCTGTTAACTTTATTGAATTAAAAATAAAAACAGCGATTTATAATTACAAAGTATATATTAAAATAATTTATCAAAATCAAAAGTGTATACAAATTTATTATTCTAAATGTTCCGAATAATTTTAGGTCATCTTAAGCAGTATACATACTATAGTCTAATAACTAGAATTTCTAAGTTAAGTTATTAAACTTTTCGAAAATTTAAAATCTAAATTTCGAGAGTATAAAAATCAATATATATAAATTTGGTAGGCATTATTAATATTATTAAATTAAGGGGGGAATGCATAAAATTAGTAGTCGTTTTCTAACCGATTCCTCTTATTTTTTTTTTTGGTAAAGGTGGTTTTTTTAGGGACATCCTGAAGGTTCGATTTAGAGTTAGGAAGAGGAGCAACAGGAACAACTTTCTTGCCTTTGGTATCATCCTGGCCTTTGGTATCAGATTTGCCATTATCACCACCACCACCACCACCACCGGCACCAAAGTCTTGTGTCCAGTAATTACCGGACTGGCCAAAGCCAGCATGTTCGAAGGAAGGATTGAGAATATTAGCTCTATGGCCTGGTGAATTCATCCACCTATTCGATAAAAAAAAAGATAAATAATAATTAACTAGAGTTTTGAAGAAATAAAATATTGATTAAATAAAAATTAAATAAAATATTTACCCTTGCATAACAGATTCATCGTCAGTATAGCCTTCGGCAACATTTTCACCACCACAAGAATATTCGTAACCATGTTGTTTATATCTGGTTCCCATATCTCCAGCTTTATCATCATGTGTAAGAGTATTAATGCTTGCCATATATTTGCTATGATCTTCAGCTACTTTACAAAGACGACTATTTTAAATTCATGAATTAAATATTCATATAAATAATAGCATATAGCAACAATTTTAGACTTAATGATAAATATTTTTTAATAAAATTACAATAAATTACAATAAATTAAAAATTTTAGAACATACTTATCAATACTAAGAGGTTTGGCGCCGGCTTTTTTACGCTCGGCATTGACTAAATCAAGCATTTTCTTATTGTCCAAACATTGAACGGATATGATGAAAAACGTCAATGCGACAAGAATGAATGGTTTCATTTTGCACGGTATTTGGGTAATACTTTGAACGGGAGAAAAAAAGGTTTCAAAGTTTCGGGACGGGATTAAATGGTAAGGGATTTCGCGGGGGGGTTTTTTGGAAATCCGTTAAAGAAAGTGCAAATGTCAAAAACAGTAGAAGGACTAATTCAAGACAATTTGAGAAAACGAAATATTTATAGGGACAAAGTTATCCTTATATATCCGCCGTGAGCATTTTGTTTCACGTAATTAATTTGTGATAATATTTAATAATTTTGTGAAATGTTAGAGATTAAAAAAATAAAGTTTTTGCGAATAGTATCTATATAATAGCATTAGGACTAGGATGATTGAATTAAAACTGTTGTTACGTATGTGCAAAATTGTGTCCCCGACATTTTTTGTTTAGTACACTAAGACAGGTTTAGACTATCATTTTCCATTTTTTATATGCATAATTCTGTATAATACGTATGAGTGCGATCAAATTAGAGTCTAGCCTGTAAGTAAAAAAACTTAAGTTTTCATTAAATTGGTCTTAATACAAAACACTAATTTGCCGCATAAAGCGATATGTCCAATTAGAAATTGAATCAAATTCATTTATAATATATGCCATGCTTTAACATTAATGCTTAAAATTTCTTTTTGGAAAGATATAAAGAATTCCTTATCAGTTATCTTTGTGACCAAATTACATAGCGAGAGAAATATAAAAAAGTATTAAATCTAGTTATTGTGTTTATTGATAAATTGACATTACCGAACTTTCTTTAAGCGTCAGTAAGGAGGATTGTAACAATAATAAATAAAGAAAAAAGATAATTTACTCAAATATTAATTTGTTTTGCTAAACGTTTAACTTAAAGTATATATTTATGATGTACATGTGGGACGCACATACGTACTGTACGTATGTACGCACGTCCGCATATATGTATGCACATTGTTATACAAATAAAAAAAGTAATCAGTAATACAAACAGTACGTACGCACACGTGCGTTAGGAATTTATAATTTTTTAATTGACACAATTTACAATTTACATACGATAACGATAAAAAAAAAAATTATAAAAATTTAAAGCATTTATTCTACGTAGTGCTCCTTTTGATTTGTTATGTCGAAATGCATAATTTTAAAAAACAATAACTCGTTAACAGTTAATAATTTAGTTTAACATTAGTTCATATTAGTGATTATTGAATTCGTCTCGTAATACATATTCACAATGTAGTACAGAGTAAATTTATGATATGAATTACTCTTAATTTGCAGTTTGTTATGTTACAACTGCAGCTGTTATCTTGGATTTCTTGCTTTTTGATTCAGTTGTTTGTTTGAACCGTTTTTAGTCATGTGTAGGGATGCTAAACACTAACTTAAGTTTTGAATTGAAGTTTCGAACAAAGACGGACTGCAAAGTAAGACTCAATAAACAGTCTGGAACTTAAGTCCTTGTGGACCACTTAAAACCCTAATTATGTGTATTAGTTTTTTAGTTATACGTAATAGTTCATGTTAGATTTGCATATTGTACGTAACATAAAGGTTGCTTTTTTTTAATTTATGAATTATAAATTAAGCTTATGTCTATTTGCATACGTACAATATGCAAACTTATAAAAATATAAATTATATATACTTAATTAAAATTAACACATTCTACTATTTATATATTAACGATTAAATTTTTATCTATTGTACGTATAATTTAATAATAAAATAATTTATAGCACTAACGAAAAAATTTCTGATCCTAATACATAAGGCTCTAGCCTATGAAACGTCGCCGTTTAGTACTAGTTATTTGACATCTTGATGATACTGATTTCGAAATTGATTATTTTACGTAGTTGAATCATTTTTGCCGCATTTGGCGAATAATCGTGCTTACTGGATTATATGGCATTAAGGTTTATGAATGTTAGATTAACGGCTTGGCTTTTCACAATTCGATCTGATACATATGAAACACTGGGGGTGCTGTGTATTATGTAAATCAAAACTATGTGATTAGATAACGATCGATAGGTAACAATTTTTATAATTATTGTTACAAAATTTTAAATAGATGCACAACTTTTACGGTTCGATAGTTTTGGTTAAAATTTCGCAAAGACCAGTGTTACGTCTCTACAAATAAAGCTATAGAGCTATTTCTTTATTTAAACACGAAAAAATTTATGTTTGTAGAGACGTAACACTGGCCTTGCGAAATTTTATCAAAAATTGTCGAACCGTAAGAGCTGTACATCTATCATCTATTTGAAATTTTTATAAAATTGTTACCTATCGATCGCTATCTAAAAAATATTCGCTAATAAAATTTATTAAATGACCATATATAGTTTTGATTTACATAGTACACATGAATCGTTGAAATTGCTTTTCAAAGGAATTCAATCTTATGTTACTGTCGCCAATTATTATTGCAGGTTTTTAGAATTAGGCCGCACAAATTAAATGCCAATTGCACATCTATTAAATTAATATACTACGTAATTACTAAAAGAATTAATAGTATTAGGGATTATGATCTAGAACTTTTAAAAAAAAAAAATTTTAATTGTTTATTATACAAGCAAATAATATATTTTAAATTAATAAAAATTTTAATCTAGATTGAATATAATAATAAATCATGTATATTCTTAAATAAGCATCTTTCTTTTTATAAATGATTTGGTAGTCATATTAAACCTTTTTTAATTTGTTGACTATATACTGCAATTATTTCACTACACTTTTCAAATTATATTCATGCATTACACATAGAGATGGGCAAAGTTAATTATATATTATTATTTAATATTAAGTAAGGTCATTATTAGGCCATACAAATTTAATTACTTGGTTTTCATAACATGAAATTGTAAAAATAGACCCGGCCGGCCGGCTTTTTTTTTTAAACTTCATATAAAATTTTATAAAATTTATATAAAAATTTTTTCCAAAACCCACCCAGTTATTACAGCTGTTCTCATAAATTTTGGGACATCTGGTAAAAAAAATTGACCGAATGATTATTTGGCCGATTCGATTAGTTTTTGATTCGGCAGTGATAAAATTTTGATTTGGCGTGATTAATAATATAGCAATAATGATATATATTCTTTGCGATTGTATTCTAAACGATACTACAATGTTAACACATCTAAAATTAAGATTTCGCCTGAATGCAAGTCCAGTGTGTTTGGTGTGTTTATTCTGCACGAAAATTTATTACAAAAGTTGTCTTGCCAACTATCAAATCTTAAAAAAAAACACAAAAAGAGTTCAGAATATAAGATAAGCTTTCATAATAAATATATTACAAAAAAAAAGTTCAATAAGAACAAAAATTTATTGACTTGACTAAAGAAAATATAATTCGAGTTATAATTCCAAACAACCAAGTTTTTTTAATATTTGTTAAACTGTATTGAAGATTATAATCAATAAAGTTACAGCAAATCAGTATGAATCAGATTAAAATATTGGAACGGTTGATCTAATGTTAACAACTGAAAGATCCTTTAGTTTTGTTTGCCTATAGTAAACATTTAAAAATGCCTATCTTGTCTGAAGTAACTACTGTTAAATCTAAAATATCTAACTTGTTTGAGTAATAGTAACTGAATTTAATATAATATTCAATTTATCTGAAGCGCAAAAATAAAATAATGTAAATATGTTATACGTCACTTTGGAATTCATGTTAATCTCGAATTGATATAAGTCACTTTGGAATCATAATTTGACATATGTTATATAACTAGGTAAATGCGCAGCATTGTGTGTCCAGAGCAAATAATTAATTATATTATTTGTCATACATATGGTATTATCAGATATTTAATATGACCATGTGATGTTATGTATTATGATTTGATTGATTTGATTGGACAATCATCACGTGATGTGGCCGGACAAACAAACCTTGCATATCACCCTTTACAGAATAATATAGAGTCCTTCGCTTTGCCCTGGACTAATAATTGGTATGTCGTTAACGACTATGATACCGATTAAAAATACCAAAAAAAAAAAGTAAAAATGAGCATCATGACACATGATATATTTTTATTTTGAATGTTCTAGTATCTGTTCACTTTTTCTTTTCTTTTTTACTTTGAAAATTTTTTTATTCAAATAACTAGAGATGTTTTTCATATAATCTAGGCATTCCAACTGTGCTATCCACATTCTACAATACTCTAAAACTAGTAGTGCTTTTTAAATTACACTAAAATTACCTCATTTTAGTCAATATCATACAATTTTAATATTTGCCTTTTTTGTAACTCCTATTTATACAATAAGATTCCCTTTTGGTTTTGTGTAATATGTAACTATCATGTAATTTTTGTATAATACAAAGCTTCAAAATCCAATCTATAGATCATTTGACTTTTGTGTAATCTAAAATAAAGGCCCTATTTTTACCTACCTCTAAATAACATACTTTAATATATTCCTGCTCTACTTCTTTATCCTTTTTCAACTTAGAAAAATTTTACAAAAAATTAATTTTTACCACAAGTTCTAAGTTAAATCTACTATTAAACTTTTCTATAACCCCACATTTATATATCTTTTAAATTACAAATTTAATATCTCTACTACTTATCTGATTTACTATACCTATACTAACCAACAAGAACTCAGATAAGCAGATCTTGACTATTTTTATTCTTACTTTAAAGATAGCTTTAGTCTTGCATTTTTTGAAGATAAAATAGACAACAGTATTAAACTAATTCCATCTAAACAAGCCCCAACTACTTGCTTTATCAAATTTACCAAATCTAACAAAGCAACACACTTCTTTTATATACTATCTTTTTATATACTATCTTCTACTGCTATAGTTACATGTCTTTGTAGTAAATACCACACACTTCATTTTGCTAACTAAAACAACTTATTAACACTCTACCAACTTTATATCAATTGTAATAAGAAAAAAACAAAACCAAAAATCAGTTAAACTTATTAATACTATCTCTAACTCTACTAATAATATTCTACTTTC